CCCTGGGACAGTGGAGACCCTTGACAACGAAGGTGTGAACCTTGTTTGATCCCGATCACTGCGGGCGCGATGTAAGCCACTCTGCAAGTACTTCTGCCAGTAGCCGATGCCCGACTGCTTTCTGAAGGTGGTGACGGGCGACCTCTGAACAAGAACCTTTAATTTGATCTAGTTTCCTTCCTAGTTCCTTCCCTGTCTCTGGAGAGGGCTTCACTTGACTGTGGTCACTTGCTTTCATATCTGGTTATGGGTTGTGTTTGACTATTCTTCGGTGGATGGTTGTTGGGAAGCCCGAGGGGACGTGCAACAGTAAAATCTGTTGCTGACAGGCAGACCATCACGATACCGGGTGGTTCATGGTTCTTAGATGGGGTTCTGGGCTTGCTTTCTGCCTATGGTCTGTCTTTCCTGTATCACGCCGACCTCGCACCATGAACCTCGCCTGGCTTGTCCGAGTTGTGAGAGCGTAAACCTTCAGCCTGTCCAGGCCAACGATGCTGCATTCGCTGCTCTCCGAGCAGATGGCTCCGTGGTCACCTGGGGCTGCCACGAGCAGGGCGGCAACAGTCAGCAGGCCCTGTAGTCTCCATAGAATTACCTGAAAGAAGAAATTAAATGAAACCTAGAAGGGTGTAAGGTTCATATACCGTATAGGAGTATAGGGATTCATAGTATAAGTTTAGTATAAGGATGTACAAGGGTATAGGGCCCTTACTTTTAAGGGCCTTCTGGTCCTTAAGGCTTGGCACCATTTCACTACATTCTACGCCTAAGTTGCTACAGGGCTCGCGTTTGTTAAGTCTTGAGGGGGATCAGGATGGCCTTGGGTTTTCATACCCTGATTGACAGGGGGCCACGCGCATCGCACGGTATGTGCTGCGCTGCTTAAGTTCATAGAATACACGTACAGGAGGCCCTTATGTGGAACGCCCCAAAACTGTAACTCGGAGAGAAAGATACGGCTACACTGTTTTGGCTGAAGTTTCCGCTTGTTGCCCTAAGGGCAGGCGTACAGGCTCTAGGTGTGGGGAGTTAGAGCCATTCCGAAAAGCTCCTTAGTGAGAAAATCTCTGAGCCTCACCAAATCTCAGCGGCGGGTCGTGGCTGAGCCCTAGAACCTTACACCTTCAACTTTATAGAGGGTCTGAATATGTTAATCATGTCCTTCTGAATTAGTAACATCGTCCTTTTCGAAGTCCCTATATCACTATGCAAAGGATATCCCCCAAAGCTGAATATTCAATCTAAACTACTAAGGAGCCGCATTTGACAAGAGAGTTCCTCCAGCGCAGTCCCCAGGTGCGACAGCATCTCCACGGCGTGCGGTGCATCCAGAAGCCTGGATCGGAAGACGTTTCTGTCTAAGGCTGCATTTGTGCCCTCATCTAGGGATCATGGGGGGTTTAGGGAGTTCAGGGCTTAGGGTTTAGTCTTTGCTTAGGGTCGGGTGGTGAGTTTGGACTGCCGGAAGATGAGACCTCGAGTCTTTGCGATTCACAATTCACAATTCAGACACCCTTGCTTTCTTTCTTTGCTCCTTCTTTCATGTGGGTAGTTCTAGGTCCCAAATATAGCACGGCACCCTCATAAAAAGGACCCTAAAAGGGACCCTACTTCAGAGAACTACCTATATGCTAGAACCCCTGACGCTTCATAGCAGGGGACGACGAGCAAGCGCCTGTGGAAGCTCTCGGGTCTCTCTTTCGTGGCCTTGCCTGAGCCGTCTTTGCTATTGGTAGCTTTGCACCGAGAAGTTCAAATCCCAAAGCCCAAAACCCCAAGACCCTGTGTGAGAGTCGAAACCCCTTCAATTGTCTGGCTCCTGGTATTTGGGGGTACAGAGCCAAACTATCTTATAAGGTTTACTGTGTAGTTGGGTGGGTGTCTGAGACATGGCTGTGGGATATCTTTTCACTTCAATGAGACCTCGAACCACATCGAACCATCATGCCTCGCCTGGATTGTCCCGCCGAAACCCATTCCGAGTGACAAGACCATGGCTTTCGGAGCCTTAGTTGGGTTTGCTGGGTGTTCTATAAGGGGTTAAGCTGGAAGCCGTAACTTCGTTTTGGCAATCGGGTTCTGAAGCCGTTGGGTTTAAACGGCCCTCTAGTTCTTCTGAGAAGAAGACCAAGCCCTGGCTTTCAAGGAGTTCGGCAAGGGGGTGTCGGGACTGTGGGGCCTACAAGTTATATAAACTGTCGCGAGGTCCCAAGTTGAAGTTGCAAGGCTTCCATCGTCCCCTCGATTCAGGCCCCGAAATGTGACCCTATGATTGCCAAGAGAAAGACCCTGATTCAACCATGTAAGACTCTAAGGACGACGACCCCTGAAGTAGGGTTTGGGACACTTTGGTAGAGAGTGAGGAAGGGCTACCCCGGCTTCACCGCCATCAAAGACCATGGACAGGCAGGCTGTGGTTCAGTGTTCACCTGGACACTCCACTGTCGTCCAATTTGGGGGTTTAGGGTTTATAGGGTTTGACACTCAGAGTCCACTGCCAAAAGGGTTTGGGGCTTTCGGGTTTGGGGGTTTATTTTCAGAAGTGCATCTCGAGATGTTAGGCGCAAACTTCGAAGCCTGTTCTCGCCGCCAAGCTGGGACCCTGATGAGCTAGCAGATCGAGTCTCAGAAGAGTCATTGTCCATCCTCGCATGAGGCTCACTGTGACCTCCCCTTCTGAGTGCTGCAACGTCTAAGGCCCCAAAGGCCGAATGGTCTCAAGCCACAAACCCTGAACCGCCCACATCTCGGACGCCTGAAGCCATGCCTGCGTGAGCGAGTGTGTAAGTCGAAACCGCCCAAAAAACAAGACAAGGTCCAGCAAAAGCACCTCAGAGGGGGAGGTGTGGCTTTCCCGTAAACCCAGAGATCCAGCCGTGCGGCGCAGAACGCAGCGTTCAATGCTCCGAATCTCGCAAACCTTATATCCCCCTAATGGAGGGGCCTTAATTGTTAGAATAGGGTTTTCGGGGTTCCTCATTGTCAATCATAGTAGAATCTACCTACAAACCCTTGAAGTCTTAAAGACGACTCTAAGCCCTGAGCTTGAGAAACCCTGCAAAAGTAGCGTTGCAGAGCTACGCCGCTAGTGCTCTCATTTCGGGGGCTCTAATCAAACCCTAAACCCTAAACCCGAGGGTTTAGGGTTTAGGGTTTAAGGAATATTCCCTTAGGATCAGTTGTCACTGTGCAGGTGGTGTCCTGGGGCTTCATCGATCCTGATGTGCCCTTTCTGAAGACTTCTCAAGTCGACGAAGGTGTATCCACATGGCTCCAAGCCTTAAGCCCGAAATTCTTTCCCTGATGCTAGCACGTGGCCACGGATGGCCTGTGGTTGCTGGGCATTGTGGTGCGAGGTAGTGTAGGTATAGGTCGAGGTTTGGATGCTTTTGAGTCTAGCGGTTGCAGACTAATGCATCTCAGTGTGAGAAGTGTCTTGAACGTGGCAGCAAGGGTCCAGCTAGTAGCCCCCAAACCCCAAACTCGACAGAAGCCCGAACTAACGAAAGTCCTAAGACGCAGGAAGGCGACATGTTCTCTCGAATGTCTCAGCCTCAGCCCTGCAACCAGCCTTTTGAACGGCCATTGGGTCAGCAACTGGGTTGCGCCGAAACCACCAACTCGATCCAAAAGCACCATGCGCTAGAAACCTGGGGAGATACCACCATGTGACGCGGCTGTCGCAAAAATCCTGGTGGCATGCTGCTGCACAGCTCAGCTGGAAGCCGGTATAAGCATCCCCCAAGGATAGGTTTGGAATGGCCAACTCCTGCTCCTGACACGCTGGGACTTTCACTTTAGGATGCTAGGGTATCGAATTTGAGGGATCCGGTTCTATGCTTCCGGAAAGAAGGAGGGCCGGGGACTTACAGTAGGGCTTTAGGATTCTGGAATTGGGGCTTAAGTCGGGTCCCGGGCTGGTTTGCGGGTCGAGGCCTGTGTGCGACGACAGTGTCGATGGCGATGCAAGGTGCACCTCCCCGGGCTGGATCAGGAAGAAGGCTTCTACTTAACCGGACTCTCCGACGTCAAGGAGCAAGCCTGAGATTCAGCGACCATTCTGGGTGTCAATGCTGTGGGAACCCATGTTTCCTTTGTCCGTAGCGACTGTTTCATATGACTTCGAACCACGGGAATAACGATCCAGAATCTCCGGAGCCTGAATTAGAGGGTATTCCTTCAGGCAGGCCTCCTTCCTCAGGGGATCCCTCATTCACGGATTTCGGAGTCCCAGGCCATGCAGCTGCGTCGGTGAGATTATCTTCTGAGAGAGTTGACACTTGATCTGGGTTTCTGAGGTTTGCGGGATGTTGCCTTCGACCCCAGGCATCTTCCATGCCCGGGTTCCGATGGAGTTTAGGGCTTCGGGTTTACGGGCATTCAAGCTACGGGTAAAGAAGTCGAAGAGTGTACCAACTTCTGTCGTAGGGCCCCCACCGGTGAAGAGTTACTGCTTAGCTTAGACTCTGCAGCACGGAATAAACTGATTACGTGACATACATGTGGCTCAGGACGAGCTCTACATTCAACTAGCGACATGACTCCAGGGGGATATTCGATGTGTTTCCGAACGGAGAAGGCACGTCCCTACTTCTGAACTCGTTGGGAGCAATCGCCCTGTGCAGGAGCTGCGAATGATGGGTGACTCATGGGCCGCGATAGGCTCTGATGGGCGCATCAAGACTTGGGGATACCTGGAGCAAAGGTTCGCAAGAATGGTTTCAATACGTTCTTTGCTGATTCGGCCAAGTTTCGCACATGTTGGCTTGTTTGTGCGCGTGCGTCATAATCCCGGAGTTTTTTGCAGTCCGAGGAAACTCCAGATCATTCGACATCAGTCTCCCAAACCCCTTCATACTGGTGACTGCCAGGAGGGTGGGTAGACTTAGTATGTAGTTGTTTTACAGGCTTATTATTAAGCATCAAAAGCCCAGTAAGGATCCCTTTTATCCCTTTTCGGGTACTTACAAGTCTACGTATCACCTACTTACCAAGACCCCCGACCCTCCAAGTGTGACATTGATCCTCCAAGTACGTAGCTGCAGACAGAAGCTCCTCACTGACCCCTGCACTTGGACCCGGGGTTGAAGTGTGGGTTTAGGGTTTAGGGTTTAGGATAGAAATGCCCGCACAGGTTTGCTTGCCTTACCCTGCTCATGCTGCCTACCCATGAGCCGACTGTTCATAATTGCCCAAACAACGTAGGAGTTCACTCATGGGGAGACGGTCGTGAACATGCTTGCGACAACCTCTAGAGATCGTAAGAGTCATTTGGAGGATGGTTCATGTATGATCCAGGCTTGAGGTTAGGCACGGTCACTGATGCCATCACTAGTTCCGCCGTTGCCACTACAATTACAAGTACCAACGCCACCTCTACCGCCATCAGCTGTCGTTCTTCTTGCTTGATAACTTCCTACCCTCTATGTCACATAAAACCGCCCCCCGGAAGCCGGCAAACTGAGTAGCATCAAATCCGAGGATACACCGGCGACCGGCAGAAGCAGTATCGACTCCACGCACTGCGGGGCGTGAAGCGCATCATTCACAACGAAAGCAACGCATGGGCAGCCATCACCAACGTAGCCGTGGCTACACAAGGGAGACGGGTTGGGGTGGTATAGCGATATAATCCGATATAGTTAGGTAGCCAAGGGCCCCAAACTTCAACCTCGACCACGAAGCTCAAAAGCATTGGGTGGCCATCAGCTTGTTCTCCGGTTTTCGCAGAGCTAGCAGTGGAATCATCAAGGTTCACACCTCGGCCCATCCATGAGCACCTGTCGGATTTGGGTGCCCACGATCTCCAGTCTCCGGTGGTTGGGTTTCCGGTTGATCCCTGGACAAGACCCCCAAGCATATAGATATAGCACCCTTTGACTGTACCGTACGCGATGGCTACGGAGCCTTGACCGAGTTAATCGGTGCTCCCAACAACAAGAGTCAGTTACACATTTTGAGACTGAGTTTGTTGATGGGTCTATGAAGCAGTATCCCCCCAAAACTCTGAACCACCATAACTTACAACATGAACAATACTCTATCTGATTATATATAGACAGTATATGTAATATATGTTGATATTAGTTTTATTTGATTGTTTGTTTGATGATTTTAGTCATAAACACTCCTCGGTCCTAATCCTTGGAAGCCTCATACACCCTGCAAGCAAAGCCCTGAAACCCCAAACCTTAGGACGGTTCGGTCGCCACCTGGGGTGAGCCCTGCTCGGGCGGGGACAGCCGATCGGTGAAGAGGCGTCTGAAGCCCGGGCCAATATCCGGGAGTTTAGGGGTCGATAGTTTGGCGGTTCAGGGTTTCCCTGTGTGTATATACGTATATATACGTATATATAATATATATATAGATAGATAGATATAGATAGATATAGATAGATAGATAGATAGATAGATATATTATTTATTTTTTATTTATCTATCTATCTACTATTTATTTATGTGTGTGTACAACCGATACACAGGTGTTATGTATTCCTCTTGTCATTATCATTGCCTCACTTTTATCATGTCTTTATATCTCAAACATTCAAAGGCAGCCTATAGCGCCGGAAGTCAGCCTAAAGCCTTTCGGGCTTACTGGGCTTCTTCGAGTAGACTATGTTGTCTGACTGCTTTGAGGTTGAACGCACGGGGATGCTGCAAACGTGAAGTTCGAGGCCACAAGCCTCCCAACCCTAAACCCCTATGAACCCCTTATAAACCCTGAACCCCTAAACCCCATGAGCCCCTTATAAAACCTGAACACCCAAACCCTATGAACCCGTTATAAACCCTGAACCCCTAAATCCTCAACCATCCCGAACCCCTTAATAATCCCGAACCCCTGAAACCCTCAACCTTGCCTCCCAGACCAAGGAAGAAGGTGGAGCTAAACCCTCAACCCCTATAAATCTCTTAACCCCTGAAACCCTCAACCTTAGACCAAGGAAGAAGGTGGAGCACATCCAAACATCGGGCAGCGCTTTTGCCGCGCTCCGCGCGGATGGTGGCGTGGTGACTTGGGGAGTCCAAGACCAAGGCCCAGTGGGTTCCTTTAAGGGCTCTACAAGGGTACTGTAAGGGATGAGTATGGGCGTTGGAGTTTAGGGCTTATAGGGTTTTAGGGTATATAGGGGCTTAAGGGTTTTAGGTTGAAGCGTTCAGGGTTTAGGGGGGATTTGGTGTGCTACCCTATGGGCTTCAAGCACTTGCCTGCTTGAGCTGCAGGTTCGGAGCAGCTATTGAGGTAACCGATTCTTGCAACAGATGCATCTGCAGTTGCTCGCGCCTTGGGTATACATCCCTGTACAGCAAACTCCTAAGCTTCACCGGGTTCGCCAAGCTGCAAGAAACTGCTTGGAGGGACATTTAGTAAGTAATGAGGCAATAAGCAGCCTTATAAGTACCCCCAAGAGTAAAGCTTTAGTTTCAAGTCTCTTTGCGAGGGTGTATTTTACTTCCCTTCTTAGGGCTCGGTCTAGAAATCTGACGTGCGTACTGTTACAACGGCCTGAGTTTTTGTTGGCGACCATGCTTCTGGCTGCGATTATTCTCCTTTCCGGAGAACTTTCAGTGTTTCAAAAGGGGCTTATATGATTACCAAAATTGTAGGGTTCTCTACTAATAGTTATACTAAACCCCAAACCCTAAACCCGTTCACTGAGAGAGTGTATGCCCTGCACATCGTCCTTCCCAAGTTAGGCTGCTTGAATTTGGCTAAGACCGAAAACTGGTTTGGTGCTGGACTTGCATCCTGTAGTCAACAGTCTGTCCTGCCAACTTACCCTGCAATGCGGGCTCGTCCTTGCTATGTAGCAGGGAAAAAACCCATTCCAGGTTTATCAGTCTTACATGGTTCCGGTCGTACAGTCGGAGCTTGGAGCTATCTAGGCGTGACGGAAGTATGTGGAGCCTTGCCTGCCTGGTGCGAGTGTGTGTGTCGAAGCCCATTCCAATCATTTAAGGCCCCTACATCACCAAAAGGCGGCTTAGTCTGAGGTTTCTGGGGCTGGGAGAGCTTTTGCTTTTGATTATACTTACTCATACCTGGACCCTAAAGAACCTACCACCTACCTTTTTAGGGTTCCTTATTATGATTTCTTTATATAAGTCCTTAAACAGGTAGGCTATTTGGGGTTGAGGTAAGTACATAACGATAAAGGAGCCTCAAACCCTACTCTAGCCATTAAGGGCCCGTCTTTGCAGGTGGCAACAGCACAGCCGTGCAGAGGTATCTGACGAACGTCACGGAGATCCAGGCCTTCTCACAGATTTCTGCACTGCGATGCGTAGAAAGCTTAAGGGCTTATAGGGTTTAGGCATATACATATAATACATGTGTATATATATACACACACACATATATAGATGTAGGTTTAGGGCTTAGGGCCCCAAAGCCCTGACATCAAGAGCCTGGGGTTTAGAATGGGTTGAGGGGCCCACGGGTAGCTTGCCGCTTCACCGGAGCACCCTTCAGTTTAAAGTTGGAGTTGCAGCTTTCTGCCAAGCGGTCAGGCATCCTGTGCGGCTTTCGCTGCGCTGCGAGCGGATGGGACTGTTGTAACCTGGGGCAAGAGCCTTTGTCCTTTTAAATAGGGCTATTTTTCAACAAGTGAAGCTCAAAGTAAGATTTGCTGTTACTAGTGATTAGCTCTTCTGCTCTATGATGCTCAATTAAAAAAACCCGATTTCGTAGTGCAGGGAGATGGCAAGTAGTGACGCCCCCTTTGCAAGAAGTAGCTTCCAATCCCCGAGATTCAGGCTTAGGGGTTTACGTATGACTGTCGGCTTCTATAGTGTCCTGCATCATGTCTGACATTTTGACTTGTTCATCTCACCCGCCTCCCCTGAGAGTACGTCTGATCTGTCCGAGGAAAAATCATGGTGGAGACTGCTCTGCTGTTCAGGAGCAGCTCCATGACGTGACCTGCATTCAGGCGCGGGGACCTGCGGCTGCATCCCTGCATCCTAACCAGCGAAAAATCTGGGCCGTAAGCCCTAGACACCACCTAGACCCTAGAATCCCCTAGACTGTAGCGTTTTTTTATTAACCTATTCTATGGATAGCATCCAATAGTAAGCGACTAAGGCAAGCAAAAAAAGGCATTACGATTTACAGTGTAGGTACGCTGTATGCCCGAGAAGCCCTACGTGCTAAGGGGATTTGAGCAACTCTTGGGTTGATGCTGTGCTCAACTGCTCAGTGCCTACACGGTTTAGGGTCTTGGGAACCTGGAATGTTGCGACTTCTCTCACTTATCTTGTTATCCTCACAACAAATAAGCTGAACTTGAGGCTAGCCGACGAAGAAGACCTAGAAACGTTTGAGGGATGCAGGGTTTATCTTTGGGACTATTTTTAGGCTTGCGTAGATTCCATGCCGCGGCAAAAGCATGGAGGCGCATCATTGGAGCCCTACTTGTGCTCGCAAGGCCCCAAGCTAAGCCCTGAAATCCCCTAAGCCCTAAGCCCTGAACCTCTCCCCTCCCCTCCCCTCCTCCAAACCCTAAGGCCCTTCAGCCCTAGACAGAAAACCCGGCCATCCTCAGACCAGTATGCCCACTTTCAGGCTTCCTTGGGTGCCTTCGCTGCTATTCGCTCGGATGGCTCTGTAGTCACGTGGGGCCGGCTGGCCTGCAAGAAGTGTTTAAAGATGCTTCTTCTTTGCGGGTTTGTGTTGTGTTTTTGATGACCTCCTTCCTCGCTTTTGTGCTGGTCGAGGGGTTGACGAGTATGTGTGTAAGTAGGGTGTTAGGAGGGCTGTCAGGCTGTAGTTGCTTCATTTCGAACATAGAAAAAGATAGATCACAAGACTTGCGACTTTCCGGGGTTAGGCTTAAGGGCCTTGGTGTTTAGGGCTTCGGGGTTTAAGGCTCCTGTTGTGGGTTCGGTTCAGGGGACTACACGCGTTCCGGGGTTGACCGTTCAGGATATGATAGACGGGCCTCAAAGTCCAAAGAGCTAGCAACATTGCCCCTATACTTCAAGGTGCTGTGAGGCAGCTTTTCTCCTGTTTAGTCAATATACGGTTAATTTTAAAAACTCCAAAGGATTAAATATTCCAAATACTATATAGCAAATGTAGCTTGGCGACAGGAGTTAGAGGGCTTGTGCTAGATCCTGCACTACCTGAAACCTGAGAATCCATGTCGGACAATAATATGCCACGTGGCTTTAGGGCTTGAGTTCAGGCTGCACGGCTGGGGAATGGAGTCGTGCTCGCCCGTAATTAGCAGAAACCGCCGTAACCCTAAACCCTAAACTTGAACTCCTCAACAATGCGCTCAAAACCCCTGAAAGAGGTCCGTATATAGCCTTCATGACACTCCTCAAGAACCCCAAAACCCGACTCCTCCCGCAGCAGCTTTAAGATGGAGGTCCTCCATCTCTCGGCGGCAACAGCTCCCGTGTGAAAGAGCAGCTGGGAAGATTGAAGGCTCGGCGGTTAATGTAGGGGCCTTAATAATTAGAATAGGGTTTGGGGTATGTTATACTATAATTGAAATAAGGAACCCCCAAAATCCTATTCTTTTTTCTTAAGGCCCCTACATTAGGGCTTGTTTAGGGATTGGGTTTAGGGGCTAGGGTTTAGGGAATCGGGCTTAGGGATAAGGATGAACCGAGGTTGCTTTCAGGGAAGGGTTCTATTCTTTATTCTATATACTTTAGGGTTGCCGGGCTTCGTTGTTTTTGGCTTTGGGTACTTCAAGGCCTCAGGCTTAAGGTTTAGTGACGTGTTGTGAGTGTCCGAACCTAGGCTGCAGGCTTTACGTTGCAGGGCCTAGGAGGGTTTAAGGTTCAGGAAACGACCGGCTCTGCTGCTGCGCATTGCTGGGGTCTTGATCACCTGAAGAAGAAGATGACGTTGAGCATGACGATGGTGTTGACCCTGATGGCGACGGTGACGGTGATGCTTTTTACCTTGCATAGTGTGGCAGATGTTTTGTTGTCCTCGCTGTCATGGCAATGCCCTTTCATCTAAAGCAGCGCTATGCAGCGCTCCCATATCAGTTAGCAGGCTGGTGCCGGTAGTAGGCAGTTCGTATGCAGGGAAGAACGCGACCAGCGAACGAGAGAGACAGAGAGAGGCCTTAAGTGGTGCAATACCTTCCCGAACAACATCGCAGACATAAACTGTTTACAGGAGTAGTGTGCTACCATGGCTTCAGGTTCCGAAAGTCCGAAAGAAACCCTACTGCCCCAGGGCCTCCTCAAGCCCCAAAGCAGCAAGCTCCCCTGAGGCGGATGATGAAGCCGAGGCCCGGGCCCGCGCGAAAGCGCGAGCTGCGGCCAAGGCCAAGGCCAAAGCACGAGCTCGGGCCAGGCTCGCAGAGGCGAAAGAGGCGGAACGGCTGAAGCTTGCGAAGGCCAAGGCCAAGGCGAAGGCCAAGGCGAAAGCCAAGGCTAAGCCCAAGCCCAAAGTGAAAGCAAAGACCAAAGCAAAAGCCAAAGCCAAAGCAAAGGCCAAGGTCTTGAAGAAACCGTCCAAGAAGTAGCCTGGAGTCCACCGTTGTTGCTGTTGTGACTGTTCTTATTGTTAGGCTTGTGCAGCGAAATTGCCGCGCAAACGCCTGCTGCTGCTTCTGTACAGCATCGGTCCAGTCCATCGTTCCATCGCCTGCAGCCAGTCATGCTGTATTCGTAGACCCCCACTATGGATTCACTAGATGTCAGTGATATGTGCGCATTGATGGCAACTTACCCGTGCGGAAGCTTTGGTTTGGCTTCGCTAGATGGCTGTCAAACTTGCATGGCTGGCGGCAGTGCATCTGGCCCAATGCTGTGTGGGCCTGGGCTGTGATTTGCTTGCGGTAGCAGGAGTTTCAATGACTACCCAGACAGTCCAAACACAGCAGCCCTCACGAGATTTCTCAGAGTCAAAAAATTGCCTCGATTGCAGTGCCAGAGAAGACGATGTAAGTCAAAAGTCGCACTTTCCTGTGCCAGAAGGTTTGTGAATCTTCGATCCCTACCTGTAGGCATCCCGAAACCCCCTATGGGCCTCGGCTCCTGTTCTGGATTCTCTAGTTTCCATCCCTAGCCTTCACTCAAGTAGCTAAGCGCAGGGCACTAGAGATGGGTCGTCGAGTGCATCTGGTCAGTGTCTCGTTTCCAGACCTTGCCTGGCGGAGTCCGAAAGTGAGCGTCAAAAAACCCTCAGTGCTAACATCGAGCACGCAGACGCCCCCGCGACTTCACAGGTGTTGGCGGACGGTCTTTGGTCCATGGCCGTCACCCGCACCCTGCCGAACCAGGTGCTCAAGGTGCCGAGAGTACAGTTTAAGATTCTGGGTGGTTGGTTTAGAGACGAAAGGTTCAAGGGTTCGGGTGCAGACAACCTGAGGCTGAAGCCCCAGTGACCCTGCAATCAGGGTTTGTTTGCTTAGATGACACGACTACCAGGAAGGTCTGAGCTGAAGAGGCCGGGTTGCATGGCACCTGAGTTTGAGGCATCGCCAGCAACAGCATCATCAGAAGCAGCGCATCGTTACCCTAAACCCTAAGTCCTAAAGTCCTAAAGTTCTTACGCCCTGGAGCCGTGGGCGGGGAAGATCAAGGCCCTAAGCCCGAAACATCACCTCCCAAAACCCGAAAGTCTCAGAACCCTAGTGGTTTAGGGTTTAGGGTCTAATAGCCACGAGTGTAAGGGTCAAAACCACAAGAACCCTCAAGCTAAAGCAATCCTCAGCTTTCAGGCCCTCAAGCAACAAAGAAAGTCAAACCCCTCCACCCCTTGAACCGTTTGTCGCCTTTGATACCCTCTGACCTCACAGCAAAGGAGTTAAAGCAAAACCCAAAACTAAACCCTCAAGCCTCTAGTCTTAAACCCTAAACCCTAAACGACTCTTTGCGAAGGCCTTAGTTGGGAGGATGAAGGAAAGACTCGCCGAATGCCCGGCCAGCGGCTTCACAGCCCACAACACGCGCCTGGGCCAGGCAAAGGATAACAGGTGGCTTCTTAGAGTTGTTTAGGGTATTTTTGTGATGGTTTGGGGTGTTTATTCGTTCATATTTAGGGCTGTTAGGGATGTGGGAAATAGGGTCCGTATAGGGCCAGGCTAGAGAAGCTAAGTCTTCTGGCGTCTTGGCAGGTTTCTTCTTTGGGAAGTGCCCATCAACTTGTCCGCATGTGATGACCCAGGTATTCCATGATCTACTCGATCGCGATGTTGCAGGCTCATCAATTTGGGCGGGTGGGCTCGTGCTTTTCAGCTGCTGGGCAGGGAAAAGCCCTGAGCTTTGCAAACCCTGCACTGTCTCACTCGCCCCGCAAACCAGACTCCCAAAGACTCTTAAACCCTCAAGATGTAACGATATCCTCCAGCCCTGCATCCTCGCAGAGCTTCCTCAGCATACCCGCAACGGGACGAATCTGAAACCCAGCAGAGCGCCACGTCCCAAGAACTTCAATACTTGAATGCAACGGCAAGACCTCGCAAGCTATACAGCGGCCAGGCCGAAACCTGAGAAGATTCAACCCGGTGCCTCAACCCTTGCGAACTACCGGCACTCGCCAACGCTGTTCCTTCTTTCGGCAAGCCAAATGTATTGCTAGGCTGGGGCAGCTAGAACTTATTCACTCTCACACGACATCCAACAAACTGGAGATGTAGTTGACCTACGTATGTGTATAAACCCCAAACTCTACATCCCGAACCCGTCATCCCTCACCGAAGGAGACTTGCGCGCACGAGGAGGCACGCGCGCTGCTCCCGAAGCTGCTGGAAGCGTTGGAGCTCACCGCGCAGCACATGACCTTCTCGGGGGAATGAGGGATAGCTTAGGGTTTAGGAGATTAAGTAGGGTTTACCTTAAACTATCACAACCGGCTTTTGCAGGTCCGTATTCTAAGCCCGAATAAGGACTTTATGAGGATCACACAAGCATGAGTTTTTTGGCGTCCGAGGTAGGGTCTGGGATGGACTATGGTTTACATTAACCGTTAACCTATCAAAGCCTACTTTGATCTTTTCCGGGGAATGAGGGGAAGATTGCTTTAGGATGGCTGGCTGCGCTGCTGCTCTGTGACATAGCCTTTGTAAGTTGCATAATTAGTAGAAACACTGATGATGTAAAGACGATACTCTGCAATCCCGAGAACCTGCATCCAATCCTGCTCATAGATGCAAGTTGGAGTGTAGAGATGTTGCACATCTAATCAGCAGACAGCCCTTGCTTCCCGTTTTATTCCTAGACATTTGCCAGAAAGCTAATCCATGCTTCGTGTGCCCGCACTCCCCACAGCCCCGAAACTGTCCGTCTCCTGGTTCCATGCGCAGAATGCGGTCGTACGCCCGGCAACTACCCACACCTTACCTGACTCCCCAAAGCGCGCCCTAAGCTCGATCCTGTACTCTCCGCGCTGCTGTTAAGCAGCACACATAGCCATCACTACCCCGGAGTTGCTGGCACCACAGATTTTGGCGACTGCTTGCGGCGATGATGGTGAAGATGACTAAACCCTAAACCCGAAACTTATCGAATTGACTCAAGCTCTCACGGCACAAACAGGATCGCTGGATGTCTGGTTGGATCAATGCATGACTGCATGCAGTGACAAACGAGTTCCTGTACGGCTCAGCGAAAAACTTGTGTGCTGTGGAATTGATGGGAAAAGCATGACTGCATGTCTGGATACCTGAATTTATACAGGAATTTACTGCATGATTGTTCCTGCGGGTAACAACTCTTGCACTTCTGCTGGAATTTATGGCATGCTGGGATGGTATGAATGTCAATGACCCCTTTATGAGTCATGCCACTTTCTGTTGATTGTATCTGCCTTTACTTATGCCGGCCTTGTTATGTTGCAGGGGTCCATGCCCTGTACTGTAAGTAGGTTCCTTGGGCAGTAGTGTGAACAACACCTTTTCAAACAGATGAACAATCACTCAACCACGTGGGAGAGAGCTGACTACTGATTGACGTCTCTGATGTATTGATACTTTGTCTTGTCCATGCATGATGGTCTAGCTCTCTCTCTCTCTCTCTGTCTCTCTTTCTAGTTGCAGCGGAGACAGAGCTATGCGGAGCCTGGCCGGCCTTGTGCGAGTGTGAGAGTCGAAACCCGAAACTCCTAAACCATAAACCATACACCCCCAAACCTTCAGAGCCCTGAGCCGGAAAAGACAGGACTCCCGAGCAACTGTCTGGCTGTCTCTGGGCGCTCGGATGGCTCGATCCTGGGGCAGAGGAGAGTCGAGGCCTGCTTTCTGTGGCTCAGAATGTTGCTTTGAGGGGTTTAGGGTTTAGGGCGAGCTCCGTTCAAGCCTGTGTAAAAATAAAAAGGCTTAAGAATCCTATTGGGGGTGCTATAGGGCTCTATCAAGGTACCGTGGGGGCTCGGAGCTTCAGGATTTCTTGCAGAAGCAGTAGTCAAAGCATTCCCTTCATAGTCCTTGTACAATGAGAGACTTAAATAGAATATAGTACAAT